GTATCTGTTAAGACTCGGCAAGGTTGGGGCCAGCAGATGGCATAACAGTTATGTTGCTGGCCTCCCACGTGGCTGACCACAGTTCGAGTCTTGGACTCAGTGGCTTGAAAAATCACACCAGGCATGTTGCTTGTGGGTGCCTAAGATGCGGGGAGGAGAATGGAGAAGGGATTATGGCATGACTGTCTCCCTGGGGAGTTATTTATCACTTTCCCTTCCACAGTCTCTGTCACTTTCTCTCTCTCTCTCTCTTACCAGTGAGTGCATGTACCCTAAGACAAAAACCTCTTAGAAAAAAAAGAAAAAAAAACTCAACAAGGTTATTGTCAACCTCCGTTAGGCTTTAGGCTTCCTCTATGGTAAGGACTTAGGCTCTGTAAGAGTCATTGATTGCAAAGTGGAAGACAGAAGTTACAGATCAGTTTTCTTTTCTTTTTTTTTTTTTAAATTTATTTATTTTTTGGAGAGGTTTTTGCTATAGGGCGTGTGCGCTTGCCCAACAGACAGAGAGAGACAGAGAGATAGAAAGTGAGAAATCACCCCCCAGGGGGGATGGTCACGCCGCAATCCCTTCTCCTCCATTCTCCTCTTGGGATCTTGGGCACACACGCACACACGCCCAGCGTGAGTTTAAGCCACTGGGTCCGGGACGCAAACTGGAGTCGACTACGTGGGAGTCCAGCGACATAGCCATTACAATAACTGCTGGTCCCACAGATCAGTTGTCCTAGGGTTCATTCTAGTCAGATGAACTCCAAGGCTGAGTACAATATAAAGTTGCTCTGGTTCTCTTATAGCTGGGTTATGTCTTTACACAATTAAAGTCCTTCACCCTGGGAATGAGGGCTCCCTGAGACCCAGGTCTAATCCTGGTCCACCACTTGACGCCATTGACATAGGGGGAGGGTTTCTCAAGTCTGAGCGCTGATGGGGCTAGAGAGCACATACGGAACCCTCCGTCTCTCAGGTCCCGCTTACTCCTTAAACTCGTGGCCAGAGAAAAATCACTGTGCTTCCCTACCATTCTAATCTGTGGTTATTTCCAAGATTTCTCTTATAAGGATTGTAAAAAATGTTGTTTGCACCAGGGCCTTTGTCAAGAACTATTATAAGGTAAAAGGTAAACATTTAAATCTTCGTGGTCATTGGATGGATTGGTCTTCGTAGGTAGTCAGACATTCATCACTGAGAAAACATTCTTGTGAGCACCAAATACCTGCCAGGCACTCTGTCATGGTCAGTGGATGATTTTTTTTTTTTAATATTAATAGTTACACCTTAGTTGGAGAGACAGGTCATATTTCTAAAACAACTAGTTGCACACGATTATGCTAAACACCTGTAGACTACACAAACCAGGACCAGTTTGAAAAAATTCGCTATTTAGACAATCGATGAATACTTGACGAAAAGTAAGACTTTTGAATTCTGCCTTAAACAGTGGCTAAGCATTTGGATAAAGAGGATAGACAATTCTCTAATTCCAAGTAGACCAAAGTGTGAACAAAATTTGGTGCAGGGCATCCATATGGCATCCTTGCAGGAGGCAGAGCACAAGATTTGTAAACTTCGCTTACAAATCCTTGTAAGTGTGGGGGATTTTCAGAACAGGAAGCCAGTGGCTGTAGCTTACTATCCTCTAAAAATTCAACACCTTCCAGTTGGTCAGTTGTACATTTTTGCCTTATGAGGCAGCTCTCGTGACTGTCTTCAGATGCAAAAAATGAGCTGAGGAAGATGAACGGGTACTCAGAGTAAGCTCCAAGGACTGCAGGGGGTGCGGCAGCAGGGTGTGCCCGGAGGTGCTGTGAGTGCCAGAGAGGGAGCCCAGCCAGCCTGGGGTATGGAGTGCGAATGGCGTGTGGGAAAGCTTTCTGGAGCAGACGTGTGGGTGGTGAGTCTTGAAGGATGGGCCAACTTTGCTGGGCAAGAAAGGAGGGGAGGGCATTCTGGCAGCAGGAGCAATGGGAGTGGAGCACAGAGGTTTGAGACAGCATGCTCCCTCGGGCATCATCAGCAGTTTGGAGAGGGCCAGATGGCACTGGCTCCCAGGCCTCCTGTTTCCCATCCTATGTTCTGGCCAGATGGAAGGTTATCTCACCTTTCTAGAAGTTGCTTCAGTCATTTTATTAACAATACTATCTTCCCTTTATTTTTTACCCTTCCTGTCTTCAGAACAAAGTAATACAAAAATACAGTTAGTGGGAAAAAAATTTTTTTTTCATCTGGAGAGCTTCAGAAGGAAGAAAAAGAGGCCAGAGGTCCTTGGGTAGATACTTTGCAGAGACAGATGCAGCGTAATTCCTGGAGCCATAGGCATGGCTTAATTGAAAGGAACTTTTTATTTTTTTCCTTGTGCAAAAGGTGCAGTTTGAGTGAAGTCTCAAAAGAGGTGTGTTTTCTCTCTTGTCTTTATTGGATGCAGGCACGAGCTTAGAGGAGCAAATGTCTTTATACGATGATACAGATTTTGTTTCTCATCGTCCATAGAATTTGTGCCAATCTCACGTGTGTGTGCACATTACAAACGTAGGTGCTACACGGCAGCAGTCAGCCAAGGAAAGCTGGTGTTGTCAGCGGGGTCTGTTCAACCTGAGTCCACAAGTAAGGTGATGTGGGACCAACTGACAGGAGGTGAGGAGAGAAAGGGACTACGAAAGGGGCAGAGTCCTCTGCTCACAGGTATTCCCTGGCTCTGCCTCACTTGTCAAAGACCAGCCTCCAAGGGCCAATATGTGGTGCAGTGGTTAGGGCACTGGACTCCTACATGGCCAACTGTGGTTCAAGTCTCGGACCCCACAGCTTGAAACTCATATACGCGTGCCTAAAATCCTGAGAGAAGAATGGAGGAGAGGGATTGCAGTGTGGCCATCCCCCGCCCCGACCCCACTGCAGGTGGTGAGTCTTCGTATCTCAGGCAAGCGCCTGCACCCTATAGCAAAAATTTCTCAACAAAAAACAAAAAAGCCCACCTCCAAACATGACTTCCAAGGCCCTTTCCAGATCGTCCCACGTGACACAAAGATTCCAGAATCTTTTCCAGCCAGGGCCTTTGCACATGCTCATCCCTCTGCCTGGAAAGTGATTTCCCTTCCTCTTCTCTGAGTTAACGCCAGCCCGTTCCTTGAATCTCGGCTCAGACAGACACCCAGAGGTGCTTCTCGGACCCTCACTAGAGCTGCTCCTGTGTTCTCAGAACTGTGGTTGCGGTGCTGTTAGCAATGATGTCATTCATTGTGGAAATAGCTGTTTGAGAATGTCCTACTCCTTATGTGAATAGAAGCTCCAGGAAAGTAGAGATCGTGTCTTTTTTTTTTTTTTTTTCTTTTTGCTGCTGCATTTGCACTTGTTTTTGTAGAGAAGGTAGTCAGAATTTGTGGAAGGAAAGAAGAGAGAGGGAAGGAGGGATGAAATGCAGAAGCAGTTTCATTTATGTATCGTTATATGTCTCAGTGGTTCATGTTTTTCCTTTTCCTTTTTATTCTTCTTTAAAGACAGGGGCTCACACCAAGTTGGTCTTGAATTTTCAATCCTCCTGCCTTAGTTAGCTGGCGCTATAGGTGCACAGCACTGTGTCCAGTTATTTTTAAAAATAGCTTTAGTGAGGTATAATACACATATAATAAACTACACATACTAAAGTGTACAACTTGATAAATTTGGACATATGCCTGCATCCATGAATCCATCCCCACAGTCAAGTTCATAAACAAGTCAACATTCCCAGAATGTTTCTCCACCTACCTCTCACCTATCTCCTAGGCAACCATTGATCTGCTTCCTCTTCCCAAAGTTAAGTTTGCATTTTCTAGAGTTTTACATAAATGGAGTCACAGTATGTAATGTTTTTATCTGTCTTCTTTCACTCAGCATGATTTTTTTTTGGCAAGTCACCTATATCGTTGTATATGTCATATATGTTACTAGTACGTTCTCTTTATTACTATGCAGTACTATGTGAATATGTCGTAATTTGTCCATCCCCTTCCCTGTTAAGATTTGGACTGTTTCAAGTTTGGAGCTATTACAGTGTCTATAAAGGGTCTAATCGAGACCAGCAGATGGTGTAATGCTTATGTTGCTGGACTTCCAGGTGGTCAATGGCAGTTCAAGTCCTAGACCTGGCGGCTTAAAACTCATGCAGGCATGTGTGTGTGTGTGTGTGTGTGTGCCCAAAATCCCAAGAAGAGAGTGGAGGAGAAGGGATTGTGGTGTGGTCATCCTCCGGAGGTTGATTTCTTCCTTTCTGTGTCTCTGTTTCTCTCTGTCTCTCTGGTGAGTGCACACACTCTATAGAAAAAAACTCTCAAAAAAAAGGTCAAATTACCTACAGTGTCTATTCGTGTACAGTAGCTATGAAGTAGCTATTACGTGTCTGAACATTTGTGTACAAGGCTTTGTATATACGTTTTGTACATATGCTTGTACTTTTCTTAAGTAAATGCCTAGGAGTAGAATAGCTGGATAATATGGTTGGTGTCAATTTTTTTTTAAAGAAATTGTCTGTGGTTCACTTTTTACTTCCTCTACTTCAAGTGAAATATCCTGAGAATTGCTACACATTTCTAAAACGGGATATGAGTCCTTTAGGGGAAAAAGGCAGTGGAAACGGGTCAGAAGTGGGTAGAAAGGGAACTCAGGACAAGAGGGGAGCTAGGAGGTCATTTTCGTTTCAGTGCAGTCCAGGAACCGACGACGGGTCTGGGCCCCCGACCATTTGATTCCCCTCCTCCTCACGTCATACAGAATCTCTTGCTGACTCGGTATTCCCAAGGACTGGGCGCCGGGAAAGTCGCGATGCATTTTTGCATAGAAAAACGTAGAACAATCCATCATGACTTTCCCAACGACCCAATAATGTTGGGGGTTCTTCTAATATTGAGAAGCCAGCAGAGAGCCAGAGGTCCAGGTTAGTCTGTGACCCCGCTCCACACGTCCTCTCACTCCGAAAAACCTGTGCAGATCCAAAGCCCTAACCAATTCGTCTCTATTTCCTTCAGGGGACACTTAAACTGGCTTCAGCTAGATCGAAGAGTATTGGAACATGATTTTCCCAAAAAGTCGGGACCAGTGGTTTTGTACTTCTGCGTCAGGTATGTACACCTGCTAGCTATACTTCTGCTTCTTTTTCTTTTTCTTGGTCAGCAAAGTTGGGGGGCAGGAGGTAAAACAATTGACAAGTAAAGGAGGTCACATTGGTCTTGTCTCACTGCCAGTGTTAATGGTTGTGGTAGAGATACTTTTCCAGAGACTGGAAACACGGGGCTTGAGTGTGTAATGTGTGTCGTTTATGCACAGACACACGTGTTTGCATTGTTGCTCTTGCACTGGGATGTTTGTGTGGAATGAAGATAAAAATAAAATTGGGGGGGGCTTGTTTTCTTTTTCAGGAGGGGTTGAAAACTGAGTCTTATGGTAGCACATGCCCAATCTTTTTGGGTGGCCATTTGAAACTTCATAACAAAAGTCCTTGTAGTCTTCCCTTTATCACAAATGCCACCTGAGTCTCTTAACGTTTGCACATTTTATCCCAAATAAGAATAGCTGAAACCCAGCAGCGAACCACGGGTCGGGCAATGCATTTTCTAGCAAGGATAGATAATCAGGTATCAGAAACAATGAGCCTTTTCTGTTCGCAAATGTGTTCTAAGAATTTCGCTTTGTGATTGCGAAGGGAGCTCTCCTTGCGACAGAGGTGCTTCTCACAGCTACCATTTGCGGCAGGTGTATGAAGGTGATGCGATTGCTCACTTCTGTTAGCGAAATGTGGTGGAAAGTCAAAGGGTGAAGAGACAAGTCAGAGGTTAAAATTGGCACCAGAGTACAAATCGGCAGAGAAGCCAAAATCTGAGCACCCAGATCCGGGAGCTCTCTGAGCACCCAGGCAGGACCTTGGCAGCACAACTGCGAAGGATTAAGTTTTGATGCTTCGCTCTCCAAATGGGTGCTAACACTTCCACCTCAACACAGGCTGTTCTTTCCAGTAGGCTAACAGAAATCTGGGAGCTGGAGACACACACCTTGCAATTCAGTTCTTTCTAAACAGCAGGATCTGGAAGGCAGTTTTTGAAGATGTTTTTTGATGCAGCCATATCTGATACTACAAAAGGCATTAGAAAAGCCTACAATAAGAGTTAAAGGGTCTATTTAGCAGGCCGGAGTGTATGTCTTTACCTCAGCTGGCAGAGTAAATTTAAACTCCCATTTAATGCCTTTTTGATTTGTTTAACAGCTGCGAACATATCAGGGCTAATCTTAGCCATTTCCATTACTGATGGGAATGATTTCAATGCCATATTCTCTTTAATGGCGTCTACAATTTCTCAGATTAATGGAAAAGCAACCATATAAAGGAGACAGTGACAATTCCTCGGGGAGGGGCAGGTGTATGAGACGAGATCTGAGCTGAATTGGAGCGGCTCGTTAACCTGTAATCGTAGGTGGATGAGGACACTTACCATGTACCAGGGTCTTCCCTCCTCCCCCCCCCAGCACTATTACTAACCAAGAAGAAAATATTGGAATTGGCTGCCTATTAGATGTTTTCCAAGAGTCTGTTAAGAGATGAGTTATCGGAGGATTTGGAGAATCGCGCCCTTGTAGGAAAGCTTGAAGCACCTTGAGATTGATGGTTAAAGTCTTGGTCCCTGAGGGTGTGCAGATCATTCCGAAACACTCCAAGCTGTCTGCTCTGCATTAAACCGGCTAACCCAGATGAGAGCGCTTTCAGGTGCTGGCAGGAGAGAGAACAGTGACAGAAGTTCCATGGCCCAAACTGACTCTTCTGCCATTGGCTACTGTTCTTCTAGTTGGTCATAACAGAACTTTCCAGAACACTCATTAGAAATAAAATCTTCTGGACCAGCAGGTGGCATGGTGGTTAAGGTGCTGGACTCCCCACATGGTCTACTGCAGTTTGAGTCCTAGACCTGGCAGCTTGCTCTCTCACTTTCCCTCTCTGTCTCTCCTCTGGTGAGCACAGGTGCCCTATAGCAAATTGAAAAATTATAATAATAACAAATAATTCTTTTAAAGAGAAAAAGACCCTTCTAATTCACATTTTGGGCCAGTCGCTGTCTGCCCTCCCTTTGTACATGCCACCCAGCTGAGTCCTCCTCCTCCAACTCATGCCAAGGCTGATCTTCCTGAAGAGTATGGGGTCTCTATTTCCAGTTGCCTCCTGGACATCTTCACTTGAGTACTTCAAACTCAGCCGTCCAAAGCCAAATGCATTATCTTCCCTCTCCCAAATCTTCTGAGTGCCCACCAAATCTGTGACATCATCATTCACTCAGACACGTTAGCTGTACACGTGACGTCTTTCCCTCCTTCCTCTTCCTCAGATTTTAATGCACCTCAGTTCTCTGCTACCGTTTCCCAAATCTCTCTCCACCCTGTCCCTTCTCTCTGTTGCCGGCACTCAGGCCCTAATCTGCTGTCCCTTGCACTATTGCAGCAGCCTCCCAGGGTGGCTGTCACCTTGGTACCAACCACAGAGGATCCTGGCACCCTCGCAGTCCTGAGCTCCTGCTTTTCAGCTAATCTAGCAAGCAGCACACCAGTAGTTTACTTCCACTAAGAGGAGGTGAGTTCTCCGCAAAGGTGAACTCTCCATTTGCCATGGCTTCAGCCCGGGAAGAATTCTCTATTTATTACTTGGTGCCTTTCTAGGGATGCCCTTAGGCTATTTTCTCCAAAGATAAATTATCTTCTTCCAAGATCCTGACCTTGGAATATGTTTGAATACACAGGAGAGCTTCTGTCCAGCAGGGTGCTTTTCCTAGGTGTGCACACCATCCTTTCTAAACAACAGTAAGTTAGAGGGGCCAGACCATGGCACGGTGCTAAAGCCATGCTGCTCTGTGAAGCAATTCTATATAAGAACATTCCCTGTTCAAGTCCAGAGATCTCCTTGAATGTGCTGGGCACATACTTGTCCATGATCCCTCTCTGGCTGCAGGCCAGGGGTGGATCATGACTTTGGGGATGCTATCTCTACCCCTTCCCAACTCTTTCTCTGTGACTCAAGGAATAAATAAATAAGCTTTAAAAAAGATGAGACTCTGACTTAGCAAGCCACCCATTACACCTGAAGAGCTTCAGAGAGTCTGATCCTCAGGTTCCTTCAGGTTCTTCTTTAGCTTAAACATCTGTATATTGAATCTGTTTAACACAAGTATAGTTGGCACTTGTGGTGAAGCAGAATAAAACCACCTGGTAAAAAGAGCACCATGAAGGGGCCAGCAGGTTGCGAAGTGGTTAAGGTGCTGGACTCTCAGTCAACTGCAGCTCAAGTCCCAGACCCGGCAGCTTGAAGATCACACTGGGTACATGCATGCATGTGCCCAAAATCTCAAGAGGAGAAAGGAAGAGAAGGGATTGCAATGTGACCATCACACATGGGGGGAGGGGTTGTTTCTCACTTCCCTCTCTCTGGCAAGTGCTCATACCCAATGGCAAAGAAAAAAAAAAAAAAAAAAAAGACAGCACTACACTACAACCAATCATGGAAAGATTAACTGGCTTATGCCATATTTTAGGCATGCATAAAATGAAGCAAGGAATGGGGTGTCACTGAGCGCCTCAGTCTGGACTGCCATCCCTGATGGGCGGTTGCTTGGCATATATATGGTATGTTCTTTCTCTGTAATGCATGCTAAGAAACATCTGTGGGAGTGCAGGCCAAATAATCACCTCCATTCAGCAAGTTAGGAAGAATAAGACACGAATACATTAGGTAATGTGAATCTGAACATCTGGAACTCTGCAGCACCCCGTAAGCTAAGATGAGCCTCCTCTAATAGGCCAGTTCTTCAGGAGAGGGCTGAAGTTAAGGGCAGCGTGGAAGAGTCAAAACCTGCCTTTACTGACTGATTATTTAGCCTACGTCGGACCTGCACTCTCTAGTCCTCATTGGTCATGTCACAGGAAGGCTCACAGATTAGGCTCTTAATTGGGCTCTTAATAATTACCCAAAAAAGAAAAAGATTGGAGAGAGGGCAGCCAGCCATCCTTAAGCACATACCATTATTAAGGATGGTTGGAGGGAACCAGCAGTTAGCGTAATGGCTGTGTCGCTGCACTCCCACGTAGTCGACCGCGGTTCGCGTCCCAGACCTGGTGGCTTAAACTCATGCTGGGCACGTGTGTGTGCGTGCCCAAGATCCCGAGAGGAGAATGGAGGAGAAGGGATTGTGGCGTGGCCATCCCCCCTGGGGCCTGCTTTCTCGCTTTCTATCTCTATGTCTCTCTCTGTCTGTCTGGTGAGCGCACGCCCCCTATAGTGAAAATCTCTCCAAAAAAAAAAGAAAAAAAATTTTTTTTTAAAAAAGGAGGGTTGGAAATCTCATTGTAAAGCGTCAAGCATGACTAACAAGTTAAGGATCCAAGATAGAATCTTATCTACTCGGGACCAGCAGTTGACATAATGGCTATGTCACTGGACTCCCATGTAGTCAACTACAGTTTGAATCCTGGACCTGGTGGCTTAAATTCATGCTGGGTGCATGTGCATGTGCGCCCAAAATCCCGAGAGGAGAATGGAGGAGAAGGGACTGCAGCATGGCCATCACCCCTCGGGGGGGATTTCTCCCTTTCTGTCTCTCTATCTCTCTCTGTCTTTCTGGCAAGTGCACGTGCCCTATAGCAAAAACCTCTCCAAAAAAAAAAAAAAAAAGTAGAAGAATAAAAGAATCTTATCTACTCAATTAAGTCTGACTCCAAACCTCGTGCCCCCTACCACCACACACACACACACACACACACACACACACACACACGCCACGTGGTAGTGTGTGTCTGTAGGTGAAACGTAACACCCAGTGCCCGCAGGGTCAGAGGCAGCCAATCAAAATTGATGACCCTGGCCTGTTCTTGTTCCCCACTTGGGTGCATCCACAGAAACAGTGTCTGTCTGCAACGGTGCCATTCAGGACAGGTGTGCACCCACGCTGGCAACAGAAGCACCCTGGAGAGCAGCCCTCCAGGGCCTGACAGCTTTGTTCCAGCCTTGCCCAGCCCAGAGCTCCACTGACAATGCCCTCTGCAGTCACGGCACTCAGCAGGCTGCCACTCCCCAGGACACAAAGGATCT